TACGCTGGGCAGTATTAGTCATAAGTGAAAACTATTGTATGAGAGAGGGGGAAGTGCATTGGATTTACTTAGTAGAAATCAAATGACTGAAGTCAATGAACTCTGAGGAGACAGTGAGAGACACGAGATGAGGAGGAGGAGGCTACAGAGTGTCTTTGTAACCACAAGAGTGGCTGAGCCAAGAACACAATTTTTCTTCAAGCAAATGGAGCTCTGCAGACATCGCTACAAACCGCCTCCACTATAAGACCCCTCCTCATGTCACTGATACCTTAAACCACATGCAAATGAAGCAAATACAGTCTGGGAGGAGTTTGGGGAAGTATGTGTGCAAAGTCAAAGAATGAAGTCATGAAGGGATGGACGTAGGTTGTTAACAATGGTCTGCACTGAGCCTGAGAGCTCGAAACATTCCTGGGGACTGCAGGTCTGCTGTATCTATAATCTCCCAGTGGCATGGTTACAACGTAGGCAGACCAGAGGTTTCCCCACCTCTTCTGTTTAGCGCCATCTCTGCTTTCAGAGAGTCCTAAGACTAGGAGAAGGTAAAGCTCATTCTTCTGGGGACTTGGGGAATCAGTTTGGGTTCCCAGCTATTGGTCAGCCTGCCACTGGTTGCCACCTTGGTTGTCTTCCCCGTTCTTGCTGTATCCAATGATGGTCCAACCAACCCACTCAAAAGTATCAGGATGAGTAGAAGGGAGTATCAAAAATGTACGATTACTATTCAGAACACATAAAGACCTACAAATCAATTAAAATGCAAAACAGCACAATTTTTTAAAAATGTGCATCAAACATGCATAGGAGACACACAGAAGAAGAGATGACTATATAGAGATGTATAACTTCACTTATCAGACTGGCAAAAATTAAAGAGATTGGTATATACGGTGTTGGTGAGTGTCTTAGTCAATTTGGGCTGCTATAATAAATTACTACAGACTGGGTAGCTTAAACAACAAACATTTATTTCTCACAATTCTGGAGGCTGGGGAGAAGTCCAAGATCAAGGTGCTGGTAGATCCGTTGTCTGGGGAGGGCCTGCTTCCTGGCTTGCAGATGGCTGTCTGTTCAGTGTAACCTCACATAACAGAGAGCAGAAAGAAAGGAGCAAGCTCTCTTCTCCTGTTTCTTCTTACAAGGGCACTAACCCCATCAAGAGGCCACCACTCTCATGACCCAAAGGCCCCATTTGTCAAATAATCTACACTTTCTGCCCTGGTCAATGCATTCCTATATAACTTGGGTCTGTTTCTGGGCTTTCTATTCTGTTTCATTGTATCAAGGATCACAAACCGGGACCATGCAAGCCCAATCAGGTCATATTTCCTTAAGTACTCTAATTCTCCAAATGAATTTTTGCATTATTTTGTCAGCTTCTGGGGAGAGGGGGACTCTCTCTAGGATTTTGAGTGCAATCACATTAAATTCCTAAATTCATTTGGATAGAATTTACATCTTTGTAATATTTGAGCCATTATTCAGAAATTTTGTAAGTCTCTATTCAATTCTTCTTTATATCCCTCAGTTAAAAATTTTAAGTTTTCTTTTTTAAAGTCCTGCATATTTTTTGGCAAATTTATTTCTAAGAATTTTCTTTTGTTGCTGCCAATACGAATTAATATCTTTTTCTATTATTTTTTCAAAATTAAAAAAGTAACATATAGTCATGTTAAAATATATACAGGAATACAAAGAGAAAAAGTGAAAGAACCATTCAAAACAATCTCCGTCTCCCCACCCCATTCCTGTCCTCAGAGGTATGGTAAGATCCTTCTAGAGCTTTTTCTGTACTTAACCACACTAACTAGACTAACTAGATGACACTATACTTACCGTTCTGCATCTTGCTTTTGTCGCTTAACAATTTATCATAGATATCTCTTCATGTCCATGCATATAAATGAGCCTCATTCTTCTCATAAATTGCATAGTATTACATTAAATTCTAATCGTTTTTCGCTAATTAATCATTCTCTTGGATTTTCACAGTACGTCATCACAGCATCTGCCATTATGTAAAAAAAGAAAAACTTAATTTCTTTGTCTTTTTGCAATAGCTGGAGCATCTAAAATAATGTTAAGTGATTGTAGTGACAGCAGAAAGCTAACTTTAACATGAGTATCTTTAGTATAAATGTTAATGTTGTCTGTCAGGTTCAGATATTTTTCTCATATTAATAAAGTATGGTTCGGTTTTTTTAAAATCAAGATGGATGTTGAATTTTTCAATGCCATGTTGGAATCTATCACAATGATGCTAAATCTTTCATCATGAGACATATTGATAGAATTAATTTCTTTAATAGATTTTCCAGTATTAAGCCATTTTGTACTTATGGTCCTGGTAAATTATCCTTTTAACATTGCCCTAAATTAAATTTGATGTTTCCATTAAGAGAGTGATTGCCTGTTTTCTTTCTTTTTTTTTTTCTTTCTCTACAATTCATTTCTTTATTAAGTTCTGCTTTCAGCTTACTTCCAGACATTCTTTTAATTCTAAAAAGGAGTACAGTACAGCACAAACTGGTTTGATGCTCTTCAAAATAGTTTCTTCTTCCTGGGAACACAGCTAATCCATATTTCTAGCCCTTCATAACGTAAATAGCCGCATGACCAGTTCCCAACAGAGGTCAATGAATGGAAGTGGTGATGACTTTGTTAAGAGCACAAGCGGCTTTTTTTGTGTTTTCTCTCTTTCCCCTTCCACGGTGACCTTGGAGGTCAGGGGCAGATATGTTAGAGATGCAAGATAAAAGGGACTTAGATCCCTAATCAGTGCTTGAAAGAGATCTCCCAGGAGAGCTGTCCCACTAGGAAAATCCACTCCAGACCTTGTTAAGCCTTGAGGCTGTTTGTTACAGCAACTAACATTAATATGTTTGACCAATACAAGGAGTTTTCCATAGCATCCTTTTGAAATATATTTAACATAATGTATCTGCATGATTCCACCGATATGGAATATAAGACATATATGAGATGGAATGATATAGACAAAAACTGGTTTCCTCACACCCTCAATGCTCTTTCAATATTAGCAAACTTCCCTCTTTTTTGTACCTAGCACTATGCTGGTCTGTATGCCAGGATAATATTTTTTTAGATATTAACCTATAATTTTTTTTCTCCTGATATTCTCCCCTACCCACCCCCCTTTTAAGCAGATAACTGTCTCAGAGGGAGGATAGCACAGGACAGAAAAACAGACTATGTCTATTGGCCCATTAGGAGGTTTTGGCTCAAAGGCAAATATCAAGATAGAAAAGGGCAGGGGTGGGTGGCGTAGGTGAGAAGGGTGGTTTGAAAAGCAAGCAGGGCTCACCCAGAGAGGGAAGAGGAGGGGCCTTGAAGAAAGCACGGACTTCTGTAAGTCCGACCCAGCCCTGCATCTTGTTCCATAGCCACTAGGAGGACAGTGGGACCACCGAGAAGGATGGCGGTGGGCGAGGGATCACGTTCCTCACGACTCTCACGCTAGGCACCAAGTGAAGCAGCAGAAGGAGCTTCCAGAAAGGAGGGGTCACGCGGGCAGGAGAAGGGGATGTCTTAGTAGCTATAGCTACCTGTAGGGACCAAGCCGGCCCTGGACCACCTGATTCCACAGACCATCAAGGATATGTCTCACATGCCGTGGTAAACAGGTGATTCCAGAAACGGCCTCCTCCTCAAGGGCTGGCATTACACAGCCCCCCAAACTGAGCTACAACGTCAGGGGAAAGGGAGGGAAACCCAAAATAGACTGGGCCAGGCGCCAGTCTGGACAAGGAGAGAAATAAACAAGGAGAGAAATACCCTTTGAGGAGCTTAGAGTCGTTATTGGTGTGCTTATTGTCGCCCTACTGGGGCTGTTTCTCCGGGCGCTCGCGGGGAGAGCCATCTCTGGTTTAGGGGCTCAGGGCGGGTGGGGGTAGTGAGGGGGTGGGTGGTGTGTTCCGAGTGGGGTGGGATCTGTCCTGCTGCCCCTGCTGAGCCCTCCCGGCTGGCGGAAGCGACAGGCGTGTGTTGCGGCGGGCTCTGAGGGCTTGGGCAGAGAGTGGGGGTCGGGGGGCGGCAGCGCCCCCCAACCACGTCTCCCGGTCCCGGGTTGGGATTTTAGAGCAGGGATTGGGGGTGCGGGAGAGCAGCCAGAAGGGGGCGCCAGACAACCAGCAATGTGGCAGGGGTGGGCTTGCGGGGCTCGGGTCACCGCCCGGCCCGAGACCCCCACCCTATCCGGGCCCACCCCAGCTTCCGCTCCGGGCGGAGAGGGAAGCCCCGCGGCCTGCGGGAGGGGAAGCCGGGCGAGCAGAGGAGGCCTGCGCCCTGCGGGATGGAGCTCGAGGACAGCGCCAGGGCCTAGCCCCGAGCGCAGGGGACCCCAGGGCGTCCGCCTCCCACCCGCGTCTCAAATGCAGAGATCGGACTCTGGGCCAAATGAGTTTATGCACTGTCCTGACGGGCCGAGGAAGGCCGCCATCACAAAGCAAACATTTTAAATAGGGGACGGTTCTGTTGCCGTGTTTTGGCATTTCTTCCTGTTTCATTTTCCGCGAGCCTCAAACACTGGCCATGGCCCTGAGTCGCTTACAGTCGGGGGCCTTGCCGGGGCCTCCGCCTGTGCCTTCCCCACACGCGCGCCCACGTGGCCCCCACCATCTTCCCGCAGCCAGGCTCCCCTGTGCTTCCCTCCCGCTCTCCTGGGCCGTCGTCTGAGGCCCAGCCCCTCTCAGCCTCACTCACGCCAGAATCGGGAGGGAGGCCCCAGGGGCCCTCTAGAGGCCAAGGCCGCTCCTCTGCCAAATGCCCCTTCTCAGCCACCGACAGGCGAGCCCTGCCTCCAGGCCCCCCGGCTCCGTGGCAACCAGCCTCTAATCACGCCTGACCTCTCCTCAGGATTCCTGAGGGGTAAGGGCTGAAGCCAAGAGCAAGGACCCCAGCAAGAATGGGGTCAACGGGGACAGGGGTCAAAGGGCAATGCCTGGGTTCCATGTTTGGTCCACCGAAGCAGACAGCCCGTTGCTAGGTAACCGCATCTCCCATCACCACCGGACACATCATCCTGAGCTGCGGATCCCCAGTCTCCAGCCATTTTCTGCTCAGTCTCCCAAACGTCCACCCTCTGTGGGACCCTGAAAGCAGGAGGAGGGGAGAAGCAAGAGCCCCACCCCCCTTGAGCCACCTGTGGTTCTGTCACCCACTGTTTCACTGCGAAGAGTCACCTGTCTAGGCAGGTAGGTCACTGCCACCATGAGTCTGGGCATCATGGAAGAGGAAGACCTGGCCGAGTACTTCCGGCTTCAGTATGGGGAAAGGTTGTTGCAACTGCTGCAGTGAGTGTCTGAGGGCCTGGCCTACCCCACCCCTCTGCCTGGGATCACCCACACCCACCTTCCAACCTGCCCCTCCTCTCCTATGATCCAGCACTCCTAACAATCCTGCCCCCATCACTCTGGCACTGGTCACCCCATCACCCTGGTCCCACACCTTGTCACCCTACCTCAGCTCACTCCCTTAATACCAGAGTGCCCCTCTCTCCTTCTTAGCACACCATTCCTTCCCCTTAAGTCAGGGAGAGGACCCCTTTCCCTCCCCATGGGTCTCTGTCTCCACGGGTTACTCCCAGCCCCAGCCTGTCCCAGGTCTCAAATCCTGAGGCCTCTCTTGCGCGTGTCTTGGGCAGGAAGTTCCCCAATGTTGAGAAACAGTTGGATTCTCCATCCATCCGTCTACTGGAGAAGAAAAAGGAGGCCAAGATCATGCATCAGGCTATGGAGAAGAAGAAGGAGGTGTGGGGGACTCGGGGATGGGATGTGGGAAGGAAGGGGGTGGGCTGGCTTCAGGGAGAGCCTAAGGACAGCCCTCCATTGTGTGGGTGGAGGTGGCTAGAACCAGGAGTCCTAGATTGTGGTCTGGTCTCTTTTCTCTGGGCACAATAGAAAAGATCTGAATCTTGGGGCTACCAGTGTCCTGGGATGCTCTGCTCTGAGCAGGCATGGGGTAGAAAGTGGGAGGCTTCCTGTGGACCCTCCTAGGCCTGGGGATAGAGCCTGCTGGGGTGCTCCTTGGTACTCAGGTCAGGGGCCTTCCTGACCTCTCTGCTTCCCCACCCCTGCCCCAAAGACATTTCAGCGCAGAATGGAAACCCTGAACCTGCGCTGGGAGGAACTGGGTGTCAAGGAAGCCCAACTGAAGGCCCACATCCAGAAGTTTGAGCAGTTCATCCAGGTTTGAGGGGGCGTGGACTGCTACACAGGCCAGGGGATCCACACTCTGCAGTCGGGCAAATTGTTCCTCCTCCTCTACCTCGTTTTTGCTGACTCCTCACCCTGGGTCAAAAGTGTCCTGAGTGCTCCAACAATGCCTGGTGCTTCCCCAGGCATCTGTTATGTCCCTCACCTATTGCTCTGTTTGTAATTTCCTGTTTACCTGTCAGTCTCTGCCCCTGTAGGTGGCTGTTTCCTATGTCCTTGCCGGTCCCCGGGACATACAGTTTATCCAGTGGATGGATGGATGGATGGCTGTGCCATGGTCAGGGCTGAGCACCTGGGGACACAACAGTGAATGAGATGGGTTTTATTCCCCCCTCCACCCCATCCCTCTGTCCTGATTCTGTGCTGAAGGTTTGGGCAGGGGACAGTGGAAGGACCAGGCACCAGAGTCCATTCCAAGACAACCTCTCTCACTAGGTCCTTAGAGGAACAATTTAATCATCTTAAAATCCAGATTTATCCAGTCCCACTCCTGCCAGCACTTATGGAACACTGAAGGGCATGGCCCAGCTCTGGTGGGGAGGGTGTAATTATTGTCCTCTGCTACAGAGCAGCCTGGCTCTTAAGCATCTTCCGCCCCACTCTGTGCCTAAACCACATGGGAAGGGAAGTTGATGGGCTGGTCATGTTGTCCAAGGGTCCAGTCCTTGTCACCAGCCAGAGAAACACTCATGGAATGGTTGGGGTGGCAGGATATCTGGGGCGAAGGGGTTCTCCAAATTTTCAGAGGATCAGCAGCTTCAGAATCCCAGAGAGCTTGTTACAAATATAGACCCTGGGAACTCTCTCCCCTCTTCTTGCTTTCAGCAGCTCTGGAGTTGGGCCCATGCATCTAGATTTTTTTAAAGCTTCCCAGGGGGTTCTGATGCAAAAGTAGATTTGAAAGCTACTGGGTTAGGGCCCCTCAGTCTTCTCCTGGGCTTATGGGGCGGAGTACAAATCCTCCATGTCCTTCCTTCTGACACCACCACACATGCCCACCCATGTGGAATCACGGGAGCCTCTGAAGGGAAAAAGGAGCCACACAGTGCAGGTGCGATGTGAGGAGTGGGCTTGCCCCTAATCTAGGGGGAGGGCTTTGCAGAAGGAAGAAGGTGGGGTTGGTCCGATTGCAGTAGCTCAGCCTCGATCTGTCTTTCTGAGCATCGAATGGCCTGCACCATCTCCTCCAGCCCCGGCCAGATGCCGGTCTGAGCTCCTAGGAACATGCTCTGTGGAATGGCCTTAGCCTGCCAGGCCCTCTGCACCAGGAATGTCTCCTATCTCGTCCCCCTATAGCTTGAGCACTGTTGCCTTAGCTTTTGGAAGAGAGGGGCTACTGCCTCACATCTCTATAGCTGAAGGAATTGAAGCACCAAGTACCAAATCGGGAGAAAATTTGGGCCTCCCAACTTGGGCCCAGGAATCTGCTCCATGACAAATAGACACTGCTAAGAATAGAAACAATCGATACTTTGTCAGAAGGGTTCCTGCACCCACTTCTGGACTTTCTCAGCCTTTGCTGGGGTTGAGTTCTCTCTGTACACTGAGCCTGATGCAACATGGTTCTCCCCCAACCGTTTTTTCTCCTGGGTTCTCCCTAGTCTGCTCTCTGAAGTCCAGAGCCCAAATCCCACAGCATCAGAATCATTTCCCACGGCTCCCCCAAGGCCCCCCCTTGACTTTGGATTAAACCTCTGTACTCACCATTTCCTGTACCCCACTTCAGTCCACAGAAATCCCCTCCACGAGCTTCAACCCCTGGAGATCCTTTTCATTCATCCCTCCTCTTCCACATGGGTGGCCCAGCAATCTCTGCCCATCCTTAGGGTGGTCTGAGCTCAGCAGACAGTAGGGGCTGAGGGCACCCTTGGCCCCAGGAGGGCAGGGCACAGCTGCTTGACCAGTGTCACCTCCCCCGGCCCCAGGAGAATGACCAGAAACGGATCCGAGCCCTGAAGAAAGCCAACAAGGAGCGGGAGCTCAAGAGGCAGCGCATGCGGGAGCTGGCCAAGGCCAAGCAGGAGATGGTGGCCCTGAGGCTGGAGCACCAGCGGCTGAGTGTCAAGCTGCATAACTACTCCATTTTCAACAAGTACCTGGAGAAGGTGGTGGAGAACTCCGAGGTGAGTCGAGGAGTTGGGGACAGGCCCTGGCACCTCCTCTTCCCTGGGGACCTGGGGCTGTGGAGTGGAGTTCAGCCTCAGCTGTCTGGGGACTGGGGACCCTCTGGGCCTCCAGAGGCTCTGTGAGATGGTCACCCTGCTCTGAGGCAATGCAGCTAGTCCTGGAGGGTGGCTAGAAAAAGCCCTTGGTGAGGCAGGTCATGTTTCTCAAGGGACCTTGTGGTGTGTCTAAGTGTGTCTGTGTAAATGTCTTGCATGAGTTGTGTGCTTATGTCTACATGAGTGTCCGCGGCCGTGTCTGTCTAAAGCTGCGTGTGTGTGAGTGCACATGGGTGTGCATGTGTATTAGGGGAACCAGGTTTTGGAGAACCTGCGGGAAGCTTTGCCGGCATCCACATCTATCCCTGCTTCCCCTCCTCTTCGGTGTCCCCTGTTTACTGGAGAGTCAACTGAGGAGAGGAAGGGAGAGGAACCGGAAAATACACACCTGCTGCCGCGCTGGAGTGCTCAGCACGTGCTGGGCATGGGGCTTAGTGCTCTACACATGTTTCTCCAGCCCCAAGAGGAAAGCAACCTATTACCCTGTCACAGAGAGGAAATAGAGGCACGGAGAGGTGAAGTCGCCTGCTCAGGGTCTGACAGCTTGTCAGTGGCAGAGCCCTTGCTTTTAACCACTCCTCAGTGGGCCCCCCAATGCCACTGACAGCCACTCTCCCTAAAGTCCTGCAGCCAGAGCTCAGGGAACTTCTCAGCCCCTTCCTGCTGCACCTCTTGCAGCATTTGGCACTCTTGATGCTCCTCCCTAAAACCTACCTTTGCCCTCGACTCTGTGGCACCTTCCTCTCCTCCTGCCTCTGGCCCCTCCTTCTCAGGCTCCTCTGGGAGCTTCTCTTCCCAAGTCCTTCCATACACGTTCTGGGGTCTTTGTCCCAGACCCTCCGCTTTTCTCCCTGAGCAGTTCCTGGGGCCTCCCACAGATACCAGCTATGTCAGTGATTATCCCCCACCATGTGACCAGCAGCAGGGATAGCTCCTCATCGTGGTGGAGCGAGGTCCCCCCCAGGGGTGTGGATCCATGTACTGGGAGGGGATCAGGGAGACAAAGGATGCATAACTTTTAAAAGTCCCCACAATTTCCATATAGAACCTAATTTATCAGGTCATTAAATATGAAATGTCTGATTTCGAATCAGAAGTTTAGTTTATTATATCTCAAACAAGGAGCAGGATGCTTAATCAAAGTATGCGCCTAAACTATCAACACAGTGTTCCCATCTTAACAGTAGCTTGTTTATGCCAGCAGCAAAGAAGCCTGGAGAGACAGTGGCAATGAAATCTCGAAAGGCATGTTTTCCACAGCTTGTTGAGAATTCAATATTTTTCCTTGCAAAAAATGTTCCAAAGCCTGGAAGAAGTGGTAGTCAGTTGGTGCAAGCTCTGGTGAATACGGTGGATGACAAGAGTTTCCAAGTCCAGCCTCTGTAGTTGGAGCGGCATTGTTTATGAGACATGTGGTCAAGTGTTGTCTTGCAAAAGGATTGACCTGTCTCTATTGACCAATCTCAGCTGCTTCATTGCAAGCATCCTCATCATTTTGTCCAGCTGGTTGCAGTAGACATCCACTGTAATCAATTGACCAGGTTTCATGAAGCTGTAGTGGATAATACCAGCGCTGGACCACCAAACAGACACCATCAGACACCATTCGGTTTTGGACGTGTTTCAGCGCTTCTTCTTTATCCAATCATTGTGCCGAACACTTGTGATTGTCAAAAAGAATCCATTTTTCATCACACATAAAAATACAGTGTAGAAATGGTTCGCCTTTTTGTCAGCAAAGAAAGGCAAGCTTCGAGACAATTTCCCTTCTGATGCTAGTTTAATTTGTGCAGAACCCATCTATCCAGCTTCTTTACCTTGCCAATTTGTTTCAAATGTCCAGTATTGTTGGAATAGTAACATCGAACTTTGCTGCTAATCATTTGTAGGTAAGAGATGGATTCACTTCCACTACAGCTTTCAGCTCATCATTATCCACCTTGGTCTCAGGTTGCCCGTGAGGCTCATTTTCAAGATTAAAATCACCAGAACAGATCTGCTCAAATCATGAATGTACTGTGCATTCATTAGCCACATCCTTCCCAAACACTTCATTGATATTTCAAGCTGTCTGGGTTGCATTAGTTTCATGGCAGAACTCATATTTGAAAATAAGAATTTTTGACTTATCCATGGCTTCACAAAAATTGCTCTTAAAAAAAAATGAGAAAGATAATCACAAGCCAAAATGTATATTTGAAAGACTGAGGATGTACCTTCACAATAAAAATAAAACAAGAATTGTCACAGTGAAATGTCAGCAATACCAACTGTCCAACTTAGTAAATGTCAGGAAATCAGACATTTCATACTTAATAACCTAATATTTATGTTTAAGTCCCAAATCTGTGTTATTTCCTCCATTCTAAGGTACCAGCTACTGTAAGATAAATTGTTCATTTAACTACTGGGAGTTTGGGGTGGAGTAGGGAGTGAGGGAGGACTGCCATATTAAAACAGTAGATAAATTGTAAGATATGTCTCAAATTTAGAGCTGGTAAAATATATATCTTAGAATTCAGGAAATTTGCCCATATCTCTCCCCTAAGCTTCAGACCCTCGTATTTAACTCTATCTAACTCATCCCATCCACATTCATCTCATCTGCTTCCTGCCACCCCCCAGGCCAGTCCTGCTGCTGGTGTGTCCTGTGCTGGTGAATGGCACGGCCACCCACCCACAGCCCCACCAGAGCTCGGGGCCTCATCTCTGACTCTTCCCTCTTGCTCAGTCCTGCAGCTATCAATCAGCAGATATCGTCTTTTCTGCCTCCTGAGTATTTCTGGAATCCAGTCCCTGCCCCTTCCTCATCCACATTACCAATGGTACCTCATCTGGAGTTGAACTCCACGGTCATTCCCGGCCAGCCTGTTCAGCATTCTACAGCCAGCATGAGATCTCTCTCTCTCTCTCTCTCTCTCTTTCCCCCCTTCTTTCTTCCTTTATTTTGTTTAAATATTTTAAGCATACCGGAAAGTATAGAGAAACACATAACAGCACCCACGTACTTACCACACAACTTTGTCAAATCTTAATATTTTTCCCTATTTGCCCCGGATTCTTTTTTCTGAAATCAGACACCAGTAACTGAAACCCCTTGTGCGTCCTTCCAAATCTCATTCTTCCCCTCTCCTCGGAGCTCACCAATATTCTGCTTTTTAAATTTCTCACTTTCATGCTTGTATTTGTTACCTTGTAGCATATTACATATCCATAAACTATGAATAGCATGGTACATAATCTTCTGTTACTTGCCTTTTCCAATCAATGATGTTTTTGGTTTTTTTTTTTTTTTTTTTTTTTTTTTGAGACAGAGTCTCACTGTGTTACCCGGGCTAGAGTGCCGTGCCGTCATCCTAGCTCACAGCAACCTCAAACTCCTGGGCTCAAGCTATCCTCCTGCCTCAGCCTCCCGAGTAGCTGGGACTACAGGCATGCGCCACCATGCCCAGCTAATTTTTTCTATATATTTTTAGTTGTCCAATTAATTTCTTTCTAATTTTAGTAGAGACGGGGTCTCGCTCTTGCTCAGGCTGGTTTCGAACTCCTGAGCTCAAACAATCCGCCCGCCTCGGCCTCCCAGAGTGCTAGGATTACAGGCGTGAGCCACCGCGCCCGGCCTTCAATGATGTTTTTTTAAAAAAACTTTTTATTATAGAAATTTTCGAGCGTACGCGAAAGTAGAAAGAATAGTCTATTGAACACCCATGACTCATCACCTGATTCCACCAATTATCACTTCATTGTCCTGTCCCCTGCACTTTCTCACCTCTGCCATTTTGAAGCAAATGATGTATTTTTATCCATATGCAGCTCTTTAGCATGTGTCTCTAAAAGAGGAGAGCTCTTTTTAATATACAGTAATACCATTGTCATACTTAGTAAAAATGTGATAGTAATTCCTTAATATCCAATATCGGTGTCAAGTATTGTACAAATGCTTTTTGTACATTTGGTTTGTTCCAATCAGCGTCCATACAAGGTCCTCACACTGCGTTTGGTTGGTATGTTTCTTAAGTGTCACAGACATTGGGCTGAAGGAAAGAAGCCAGACACGAAGGAGGATATGCTGTATGCTTCCACTGATACGTGTACAAACAGGAAAAATTAATCTTTAATGACAGAGGTCAGAATACTATAATAGTTTCCTCAGTGTTGGGGACAGGTCCTAACTATCAACCCTTCTTCATTTATTAGCTAGATACTATCATAAAGGAAAGGACTTCATAAAGAGAAGCTTTCCTTCACCAACTGTTTGATTATTATGTGGGTCTTAAAGAAAAAACTTGTTAAACACCCGATATTTTATTTATAGTTTTCAGAGCAATGAATCTGTTCTCCAGCATCCTCTGAAAATGACCTGTGATGTTTTTAGTATCATTATGAACTGATGAATTTTTAACACATTTGATATGTTTCAATCCTTCACACTTATTCTTACTAATGTTCAAATTGTCTTCCACCATTGGGCTATGGGAACCTCTTCGAGTTGGCACGAGTCCTTTTGACACCAGCATTACGTTTTAGACATGCATTCCTGGTCGCGCTGCTATAGTTCATTCATTTTAACTAGCATGTGCTGTTACATGGTTTGCCAAGTGAACTTTTAGAAACGCAGACATAAATTATCTTTCTGTTGCTTAAAATCCTTCAGTGGATCCACACCCCTTCCTAAGGTTTACTGAGCACTTCTTTGTCTTCTTCTTCTTCAGGTCAATTTCTCCCTTCCCATCTTTTTTTTTTTTTTTTTTTTTTTTTGAGACAGAGTCTCGCTTTTGTTGCCCAGACTAGAGTGAGTGCCGTGGCGTCAGCCTAGCTCACAGCAACCTCAAACTCCTGGGCTCAAGCGATCCTCCTGCCTCAGCCTCCCGAGTAGCTGGAACTACAGGCACGAGCCACCACACCCGGCCAATTTTTTATTTCTATTTTTAGTTGACTTGCTAATTTTTTCTATTTTTTTAGTAGAGACGGGGTCTCGCTCTTGCTCAGAGCTGGTCTCGAACTCCAGAGCTCAAGCGATCCTCCCGCCTCGGCCTCCTAGAGTGCTAGGATTACAGGCGTGAGCCACCGCCCCCGGCCTCTCCCTCCCCATCTTGAATTCAGGCCACTCATACTAAACTACCTTGAGCATCTTGAACATGCTACACTCCCCCCACCATTCATCTTTACCCAGGCTGTGCCCTCCACCTGTAGCACTGCCTCACCTTCCCCCACCTGCTTTTGCCTTGCTGTCCTCTGTTCATACCCGCAGCCTCCTTTCAGCCATCCTTTCTCCCGGGAAACCTTTTCTGGCTGTTCCCATCTCCCCCAACGCTGGGTTGGGTGGCCCTTCCCTGAAGAGGCATATTTGGGGAAGGTCCAACAGGGCAGTTCCCAGGACATCAGTCCATCATTGGAAATGTCATGAGATAGAGAAAATGCTCAGGGACTGTCCCCTGGATGGCTGGAAGGCACACTGTGATAAGGCCTTGGGAAGGTGAGCTTGGCATCACAGAACAGGCGCTCACACCACCTTGTCAAGAGGTGTGGTTGTGGGGCTTCTGTTCCCTTAAGTGGGGCCTGCGGGTTGGGGCCAGAGTGGCATGGTTCCGGATCATGCAAGAGGAGGTAAGCTGAGCCTGGCAGGCCACTTGCCCCACTAGTACCCTCTCCAAACCCCTGCTTCTCCCTCAGCAAATGTTGAATAAGTACCAGAGAGTACCATGCTTGAAGGCAATACCCAGCAGTCTCCGTCCAGCCCCACCCCTCAACTGTACATAGGCTTAGCACTCTGTATTGAAACTGTTTACTTGTTCGTGCTGCCCAAGCTGTAGGCTTCCTAAGAAAGCCTGGTTTTCTTATCTGCTGCCACGTCTCTAGCATTTAGCACAGCTCCTGGCTTGTAAGTAGTTCTTGGTAGATTCTTGTTGAGTAGGAAATTTATTGCCTTGAGAGACATCTCAAAATGTCCTCCACCAGCCATTCTCAATCTTGGGGCTGTGCCTAGAAAAACCTGGAGGACCTTTTGCAAAAATCAAGTGTCAGGGGCCACCTCAGACCTGTTCATTAATCTGAATCTGAATCTCTGGGGGTGGAGTCTGGAAGACGCCTTTCCAAGCCTCCCCCCCGTGATTCTAACATGTAACTAAGACTGAGAATCCCTGGTCCAGTTGTGCACCCTCCCAACACATGGACCATGGTCCATACAAGCCCACGAGAAGCGGGTGGTGGGACCCTGACATCCTCACAGCCTCAGCCGGTAAGCCTGGCCCAGGGCTTGCCTGTCCTGGTGTCCAGGCGTCCAAGCTGGGAGTGGGCTGACCAGGATGGCTGCATCGGGGCCCTGGGGACCGGCGGTGCAGTGACCAGAGCCCCGGTCGCAGTTCGAGGAGATCCACGAGGTGATCGCACGCTACAAGACGCTGGTGAGCATGCACCACGACCTCATGCAGTCTGCGCAGGAGGGCCAGGAGAAGATCGAGCGCGCCAAGGCGCGGCTGGCGCGCTACATGGAGGAGAAGGACGATGAGATCCTGCAGCACAACAACGAGCTGGCCCGGCTGCAGATGCGCTTCGACCGCGCCCGCAGCGATGTCATCATCTGGGTGAGGGGGCTGGGTCGGGGCAGGGACCTCGGGGCGCTAGGTGATTGAAGGCCCCATGCGCGCGCACACGCGCGCGCACACACACCCGCCAGGCTCATGCCCTCATCCTTTGCAGGAATCTCGCTGGGCGCACATCCAGAACACCGCCGCCAAGAAGACCCTCCTGCTTGGCACTATTAAAATGGCAACGCTGAACCTCTTCCAGATCGTTAGCAAGCAGCTCAAGGATGCCACCAGTGTGTCGCTGGATGACACGCACAAGCAGCTGGACATGGTAGGAGGAAGTGCAGGCGCTGGGACCGGCTGGGTTGGCGGGCCAAGGCGGTTCCCCAAGGAGGTTAAGTGTAAGAATGAATTCGGCAGAGCAGTGGCTCTCAATTTTTAACAGCATCAGAATCACCTGGGGCACGAGGAGTGTTGCTGGGCCCCAGCCCCGGAATCTCTGACTCGGTAGGTCTGAGATGAGAACTCATGAATTTGTATCTTCAGCAAGTTCCCAGGTGATGCTGCTGATCGGGGTTCCACACTTTGAGAACCACTGTATTATCCCCAAGACCCTTGTTGGCCCAACCCAGTAGGAGGAACCAACTATTGTATCCGTTGGTTATGCAAAACAGTCTTATTAGATTCTAGTGAGATACCTTGGCTTGCTGAAGACTTGTGCTTAAGGCCCACACTTTGTTAAAAGGAAAACTTGGCAAGTTTAGAGAAGTGTTAAAGTCATATTAGTACCAATCTGGATGTTCTTGAAATAATTGAAAGGAAATTGAAAAGGAAATAACTTTTTCACTGTATGAGTCAAAGTGAGTTAATGCCAGCCACATCCACGTGCCACCTAAAATCATCTCACTTGTGGCCAAAGATATACACATCCCACATTTTGGGAAACCCTGCACCAGCAGGTGCACTGAGGGTGCTTCTGATATGCAGAGAAGCATGACTAAATAATTATTTGTTTCTGCGGCAAACACCTTTAGCTCTGCTGTGAAATACTAGAAAGTAAACTCTTGAAGACTGGGATTTTTGTTGTTCCCTGCTATATCCACCCTGTACCTAAAACAATGTCTGTCACATGCTGGTCACTCAGTAAGTATTTGGTGAATGAATACGAAACACCAGCCAATAAATGCAATTGACTAAGAGGCACTTTCCCTACTTAAAAAAAAAAAAAGTGAAACTCACGAAATGTAAAGGATTTCACTCACTGACCAGCCAGGAAGAAGGATTTCCCTAAAGCAAATAATCAGCATCTTAAGGCTTGTTATTAGTAGAACAGAATTATAAAATTTTACAGTCCAAAGAAGGAGATTTGTAAGAAAGTTTGTTCTGGAAGCAGCAATTCTCAACATTTTGGTATCAGGATACCTTTATTCTCTTAAAGTGTATTGAGAACCCTTGGAGAGATTTTCTTTAGATGGGTTATATTTATTGATATTTACCATATTAGAAATTGAAACAGGAAATTTAAAAATATATGTTTAATAAATTCATTTTAAGATGCCATTAAAAATCATGTTAACAGAAATAGCATTTTGCATGAAAAAATTTTTCAAAAAATATTTTGAGAGAAGAGTGGCGTTATTCGACACATTTGCATCTCTTTAATGTCTGGCTTAATAGAGGACAGGTGCATTTTCATGTCTGCTTCTGCATTCATTCTGTTGTGATAGCATATGTCATGGAAATTCCACTCCAGTAAACACCACTGTGTACTTGTGACAGAATAAAAGGCAAATAATGTCTTAGCATTATTATAAAAAGAATTTTGGCCTGGAAGATCCCCCTCTCCCACAATAGGGCCCCCTTCCTTTAGCTGTTGTAAAGGAAGTTGTGATGGGTGGTGGGTCCTCCCGCCCCTTGCTCCTGCCCTTGCACTCCCTGCTCAGACCACAGCTTGCAGTCCGTCCACTCCGAATTTTGAGGTTTCTTAATCCCTCAACCTTGGTTTGCCTCTATAGGAGTACTTCATAGTGCGTAAATTTATTTTAAAATATCCCACTTCATTCTCATGGGATATGAGCCTACTCACAAAAATATACATGGCCAACTAGCCTGAAAAATTAAAAACAAAGACTTGGGAAAGTATAAGTTAAAATCAGAGATGAACACTAGATAGAGAAATACAGTCTGTGACTCTTGGATTATAAGGGCCTTCAACAGGAGCAATAATTGGCTCTGAGCTTCCAGGTAACCAGAATGAAAAGGCGCACGTAGTTCTTGTACTAAAATAAAAAAATATATAAGGTTTTCACAGAGGGAGCATGCTTTTTCCAGGCACTTTGTTCTAAGGGAAATTTCTCCATGAGGCTTCGGAGACACTCAGTGAATCGTGTTCTCAACAACCAGATACAGGCAGAGGCTTCATGAAGCAGCCGCTTCTATGGAACTAGGGACATGGTACAGAGTATAACTTAGAAAATGTGATTCTGCAAAAGGCCAAGAAAATTTGAATTCAATATACTGTGTCATGAAAGGTTTGGCATCATCCCTGAAGAAAGGCCAAACTATCCGGAACAGCCTTTTCCAAACTGTGCTTGGCAAATGCTAGAATCTTGAGATATTGTTTCCTATGAAGAAATAAAAGGACTCCATGGACCAATACATTTAGAAAACTCTCACTTAAATTAAGATTTAAAAAAAGAACAGGACTTGATAGAATCTTTGCTATGTATGGTCCTGTGCCCTGAGGCTCTCCCAGCAGATAGTGTTTCTAAGACTCACTAGATTACAGAACTCTTTCTGGGGTACGTGACCATGTACAGGAACGTAGTTTGGGAAATGCTGAACTTGTCTTCTCTGTAATCTTGGGAAAGTTGCTTTAAAATTCATGGACTCTTTGTTTTCTCACTTGCAAAAATAGGAATTACAGCAGTAATGGTAACAGTATTAGCAGTTGACAGGCTTGTTGAGCACGTTGAACAAAGTCTGTGTCGTCCCATCTCCAGAGACGGCCTTGAAAAGGAGAGGTTTTAGAACCGAGATCTTAGAGGCCATTCAGGCAAACCCTTCCTGCCTCCTCCCTTTTTAAAGAGGAAGAAACTGAGTCCCAGAGAGATGGAGTGATTTCCCCAGCGCTGCATCCGGAGCACAGCTAAGTCCTGACCTAGTGTCACCCTTTCCTCTGTGTCTCACTGATTTCGTGCTCTTTGAAACAGAAGCCAGTGAATAGAATTTAAACTTCTCTTCACGACTCAAGATTATCATGAGGAGCATCAGCTCAGGGTTTCGAGTGCATGACACCCTGACGGCCGTCACGCTGTGGAGGGCCGTCTGCCCCCACGCTGACGGGGCCCTGCCTGCCAAATGCTTTCACTCCCACGGTGTGCTGGTGATCCCTCCTTCTCCCTTCCGTTAGACCGTCAGCCTGCACTTTGTGTTGTCACTGTGTCTGCCTCTAGGAGTTCCCAACTCCATTCCCATTTATTGCTTTTAATCTGCTACCCTGATACTCAATTTCACCTCAAAATATTGTCAAGTGAGGGAAAGTGGCTTCTTCAAAAAGCCAGTCACAGGAAAGCAATGAACTCCTTACAAATTAATGCCCGAGATGCTCCATCTTGGAATGGAGTAAACCTCTGGATGGCTGGGGTTAACTGTGGTCCCCCTGCCTTTTCAGATCCAGCAGTTTATCCAAGACCTGTCGGACATCTGGATCGAGGTGAAGAGAAAGGAACAGCAACAAGTCCGGGTTTAAGGAGACAGCATGGTTCCAGAATGTTCTGAGACAGAGACTGCGAGAGAATCAGTTCCCGGGGAGCTTGCAGTCCAGTCAGCCCAGTCCGGCCACGGAGGCCCCCGGTGCTTTATCTACTGGTGAAGGAACACGTGGTCATTTTCTCCTTGGGCCTCAGTCCATCCCTGAAATCATTAAATTTTATAAGAAGTTTGTTCTTAAGTTCTCTCTTTTTAGTGATTTATTCATGCGGAAGAGCGTCAATGAGGGGAGAACCCCCACAAGCTCTGCCTCTCCAAGCTGGTCACTCAGGCTGCCCAGGAACTAGAAACCACATCTGAGGTCTGGTGTCCCCTGGGCTTTGGGCCTACACACAGCAAGAGTTCAGGTGGGCAACAGAGGACCCTTCTCTCTGCTATCACCTCAAGAAATATATTTTTTTTAAAGTTTGTATTTCTAATCTGGGTACAAAGACCCACTAGAAACTATGAAGGCAGCTTCCCAAGTCAGAATTCTACAGGTGAGTCAAGAACTCTTCCCTGACCTGGCGAGCATGCCCTACTCCCCTGTCCTGTGTACCTTAAAATATGCAACACAGCATCAGCTACGCCCATGAAGGAACAGCTAGCAGGCTGCCCGGTGACTAGTGAGGGACCACGAATGTGCCAAGTGACAGCCCCAAGGCCCAGGAGCATCTCGGCAGGCTAGAATGATGGGTTAAAACCAATAAAATGAAACTGAGTAGAGGTAACATAAAGTCTCGAACTTAGGTTCAAACACTTAATTGCACGTTTCTGAATCATCAATGGCATAAGCCAAGTCAGAGACTTGGGGGCAGTGGCATTTGGGAACATGCACTTCATCTACATCAGCCTTGCGAAAGCCCTGTGAGGCACCGCTGTCTCTGTCTCACAGAGCAAGACACTTGCCCAGGGACACTAGCCACAGGATGACAGGGCCAGGATTCACCCTTGGGTCTGCCCATCCTCAGCCTGTGTGTGCCCTCTTGGCCAGTCTGCCTCTCGGGCCCAGGGGCAGGCCCAAGCAAGGATCCATGTTTCCTCCCTGGCCCTGCGATCCTGCTGGGATTCCCAGTGCCTACAGGGAAGACGCTGCTGCAGCTGCCCTGGTGGGCTCTGGTGTGGGTCCCCGTAACCCTTCACCTCCGTACACGACACCTTGCAGCAGTGGTCCTCGAGGTGAGGGCCCTGGACCAGCAGCACCTGGGAACTTGGTGGACATACATACTTTCAGGCCTTACCCCAGACCTGAGAATCAGAAACTCCAGGGGTGTGACCCGACAGTCTGGGCTTTACCCAGCCCTCCACGTGGTTCTGATGCACACTCAAGTTGAAGAACCACTGCTTTACGGTGCCAAACACCGTCAGGTGCCTGGGCCCATTCATCTCCTAACTCGTGATGAGTCGTACATATGACAACCTGTGTCAGCCTTCTGTCAGAGACGCAGATTGATACTGAGAGATATCTACTGTTTCTTCTGGTGTGTGTGACGGTCTTTGTTACAGGGATTTGATCTCGGGCGGCTGTGGGCGCTGGTTAAGCAGTCTCTGTAGGGCTGCTATTTTCTCGCCCAATACTAGGGCTTGAAGTTCCCAGAGGAGGTTACTAGGAAAGAAATACAGAGGCAAAGTGGAAGGAGACCAAGAACAAGTCAGAACCCATAAGCATGAGCTGGAGCCCCTGAGGACAGACAGAAACCCAGGCCAGTTCTTGCGGCTTCTGAACCTGGTGGTGTGGGTGTCCCACAGAAGCCGGGATCCTTCTCTGAGGACGGAGCTGAGCACACACGCCTGGCCCAGGGGTTGGAGCAGCTGAAGGAGGACCCGAGGTGAGTGGAGCAGGTGCAGGCCCCGCACCAATGGGGCACATCAGCTGAGCGGCGACAACGTGTGCAAGCTACGATTGGCTGCCACTTCCCTTCCGCCCTCAGATCCCCTGTGGGGAGCTCTCTAGACCCACTCTAACAGGAAACACCCAGGAAAAGGAATTCTGGGGAATGCAAAAATAGCTTCCCCTGAGTTGAGTCTCCTGGGCTGGGTCCTAGAAGATGCAAAACAGACCGTTCCCCCAGCTCCGCGATAAACACATCTGCCCCCAGCCCCCAATCTTCTGCTGTGTCTGTGAGGTGGCGTTTGAGAAGCCCAGCCTGCTGGGACTGAACACACTTCCTGCTTGCGCGAGGCCCCTCAGCCCCACCCCAAGGCCGTGTGCCAGAAGCCAGAGGCCCTCTCTCTGCCTCTGTCCTTGCTCTGTCCTCTGTCTCACCGCCTTGTAGCATCAGCTTTCCTGCATGACTGAAATGGGGACTCGTGAAGGGTCACACTTAGAATTCCTGTGATCACACGTAAGTTCATCTAAACACGCGTGTTTACATACATGCGTAATTCGCCCTGATATTGTTGCATTTTTCAGGTTTACAAAAGAGCCCATCCCTGGGGCAGAAGAAATTCTGTGGATCTAGGCAGATTTCTTGAGTATAAGGGAAGCCACAAATCCACAAACTCATTTCCGAGCCCACAGAAAGGGGGAGAGCGAACCCAGAAGGTACAGGGATTATCCGAGCCTGAGTGAGGGCTTCCCATTGGCGGGGGGAGCGGTGGTCACAGATAGGCCCTCCCCAACCCCAGCCCACCCTAACCCGCTTCAGTCCCTTAGCACAAGCCACCCTGGGCCCTGTATCTACATAAAGAAGCCAAGATTGCCCAGTCAGAAGAGATTTGGACTCCAGATGCACAAGATCATGTTCCAAGAACAAGAAGATGAAGTTAAGGGCCTGATTGGAGCTTTCCCAGCAAGCAAAGACACTAGCTCATGAGAGAAATAACTGATTGGTTCCAGAAGTGAATGGTTCTCATCAGAGGCAGGAAGTAGGGCTGTGGTGTTGCATGGATAAAGGGAGGGAGGGTGGGAAGCCCTTCGGGGCTTTGCTGTCAGTGCTAGAGCACCTGCTCCCCATCAAAAGCTTTTCGCTCCACCTGATGGAACGGCGTGGAGGAAGGAAGGGGCAGGGGGTAGGAGAGGCTCAGGTGGGTAAGAGCCGAGCCTGCAAGCAGCCAGGGGGGCACACAGCCACATGTCTGTCACAATGCCATGCCACACACACAGTCCCCAAACGGCAATTGGAGCCCAAAAGCTGCTGGCGAGGATGGGACTCGAACCAAGAGTCTTTATGGTGATCTAGGTCTCTCTGGGGTAGCCAAAGAGGCCCTGCTTATGCAGGATTAACTATCAGCCCTTGGGATCATACACCTTACGTGATTTTACCCTCAAAGCCCTTTGCCCAGGCTCGTGGCTGGAGTCCCACATCTTACGGACAAGTCTTCCTGTCAATGGGAGGGGCTCTAGAAGCTTCCACTTCTTTCAAACAATCTCAGGGATGATCTCTTGGGCACCCGAGTGAGCTTCTCTGCTCCGGGACTTTCAATCCCAGCAATATTTCCTGGAAGTCTCCTGTGTGCATTGCAAGGTGTTGAGACCCTGCCTCAGGCTAATTCTCTTTTCCTGGGAGATAAGAGCCCTCTGAGATCTGTGACAGGAGCTGAGTTCAGGCTTCACCTCGGCTTCCCCACCTACAGTGGGCTGAGATTTCCCCTTAGCTTTGACTTTTGAAACTCCAGGGAGAGGCTCCTAGTGTCGACCACAGAGTTGGGAATGACAAGGGCTGGGCTTGGAGAAAACCAGAGTGTGATATCACCCTTGGAGATGGGGGACAAATAACCATGTTAGGAATTTTATGAGGGAAAGAGCTGGATCTAGGAACATCCTGCAGAATGACAGCCAGCTGCACAGCGATGCAAGACTGATCGTGTTAGTTTTCTAGTCTGCGTGACAAATTACCGCAAACTCGGAGTCCTAAACCCACTAAACGCACAGCCACTTGTTATCGCACAGTGGTAGGTCAGACATCCGTGTGGGCTGGACTGGATTCCAGCTTAGGGTCTCACAAGGCTAAAATCACATGGGCGGCTGGCTGGGCTTACACCTGCAGGCTCAGGGGAAGAGCCCACAGCCAAGCTCATTCAGGTTGCTGACATCATCCAGCTCCCGCACTGCAGGTCTGAGTCCCCATTTTCCCCGCTGGCTGTCAGCCAGGGGCCGCACTCTGCTCCTAGAGGCCAACTGCGTCCCTCATTGCATGGCCCCTTCCATCTGCAAAGCCAGCAGCAGCACATGGGGTCCCGGTCAGGGGTTGAATCTGACTGTCCTCCAATACCAGTCAGAGAAACTCTGCTTTTAAAGAGTTCATGTGATTAGATTAGAGCCACCCAGATAATCTTCCCTTTATCATAACACCAGGGGGTGAAGGTCATGGTGGCCATCTTAGAACTCAGCCTACCACATTGATGGGGAAAGGATGTCAAAACAGCTTGAGAAGGAAGAGGGGGTGGTGGCAAGGAGGGACTATGACAAGGTGGTTAAAGGCAGAGAGGAGGAACAGGTGGAAAATCTTTCCGATGTGCACCTGACCCCACATTTACTGGTGATAGTTTCATCAAGACAGGATGTTCCCCTGGGACTCATCACCTTCTAGGGAGTGAATAAATGGGATTCAGTCAGTCTGAGACTCTCCTGATTTTTTTTAAATGAAACTTTTATATACAAGCACATATGGATTTTTCATGCCTGGGGTGGGTGAGAGTGGGGATGGGTGTGGGGGGTGGACAGCAGAAAGTCCATGGCTTCCAGCAAATTCTCCCAGGAATCTTAATCCAATAAAGTTAAGAACTACTGCTTTTTTAAAAAAAATTAACAGCTTTATTGAGATATGATTCATATACCATAAAATTCACTCATTTAAAGGCTACAATTTAGTGGTTTTTAGTGTATTTTACAGAGTTGTGCAACCATGGACACGATCAATTTCAGAACATTTTCATTATCCCTCAAGAAACTCCATATCCATTGGCAGTCACTCCCATTAGCTCCCAATCCCACACCCCACTGCAGCCCTTGAAAACCATTATCTACTTTCTATTTCTATGGAATTACCTATTCTGGACATTTCATATAGATGGAATCATAATATGTATGTTTTTTGCGTTAGATTTAGCATGATGTCAGGGTTCATCCATGATATAGCGTGTACCAGTACATTGGTCTTTTTCATAGCTGAATGACATTCCATTGCATGGATATGTAGCATAGATTTTGTTTATCCAACAATCAGTTGATGGGCACTGGGATTGTTTCTACTTTCTGGCTACCTTCCT